ATTGAACTACGACCGTTACGCAGTAAGCTTTGTGTCACAATGAAGTACCACGCTTCCTTTTTGTTTTGTGACGTATCATTTGTGACTAAACTCATCTGACCGCTAATGATTTGGAGTTCCCAATTAATCAAAAATCCATGGGAAAAATGCTCCATTGATAACGATATCTGTGATAGGCGTTATTATCCATTTCTGGGTACCATTCGAGACATTGGCTGTCAATCAGTTAAGCCATCAATGTGACACAACTTCGAGATGAAGAGCAATGAATCGAGACTTCTAATTAGTATATAATCAACTATAATACAGAAAAAATCGCCCCCAATTCGGAGCTAACACTGAGGGTGTAGAGCTTTCAAGGAAAAATGAGAATACGAAATGATATTTACGCATAGCAAATTCCTTACAAGAAGGAGGACGACACCATAAGAAGGAGGGAAGCCCGGCGTTGGCCGGGCGACCCGACTGGTAAATGATAACAATTGATAATAAATGATAATAAACGTTGATAAATGATAATATCATAATACTAAACAATAATTATGATAATAAATGATAGCGAGAGATAACAAAGTATAACAAATGATAATAAATGCCAACAAACGTTAATAAATGATAATAACCAATAATAATGACGAATAAATTATAGCAAACGATAGTAAGTGATAACAAATGTTAATAATGATTGAAAATAAACGATAATCTTTCCTATATGTATAATAGGCTAGGTGTGTCGTTGGTGTGTTTGCGTGTGTGTGTCTGACCGGAAAAAACTAAACTCGGGAGAGTGCAGGCGCTGGAGGCGTTAGCCGGGCGATTCGACCGGTCTTCACATATGGCTTGACCACTTTCGTCATCAAAGGGTTGTGTCTTTTCCTTTTCTAGACTTTATTCTTAGCGCTTCGTCACTTTCATGCAGCCGAATTCGCATTTGACTGCCTAGTTGCATTGGTTGCAGCCGTTGTGCCGCTGGCATCAGTATTGCACAACGAACTCACCTACTGAAGAAGAACTTCAAGCTCAGCCCGTATAACATTAGAAATTTCATTTTGGCAAAACCGTCAGACTTAAAACTGCAGCCGGCACTTTTGAAACTATTCGACTTCAGAATACAAGTCTAAACCGTCAGTTATGGGAGAAACCTTCTTTCAGGTATCGGTCTGCACTTTTCAATGAATCGTATTATATATCCGACGGCTCAACTATGTGGTTCGAATACGACCCGTCATGGAAAGAAACGGAAACAGAGATCGACACACATACCGAAGCACAACTGCGGAAGTTTGGGCGTTTTGGATACATGGAGTGTAGGTGTATTCTCTACTTCCTCAAACTTTATACGAAGATGGATTTGTAGTCTGATCAAAACTCTTTTTGCCATAGGCGGTACTCACTTCATGAAGGGATTCTGCTTCGTTTTTTAGCATGGGAATACCTGATGATCAACACGTACGATGTGCACTTTTACGCAAGTTGGGCTTTGCTCAAAAACTGGCCAATGCTGGAGCTATCTTTGCAATTGGACTTCTGTAAGCAATACTTGTCAGATTCCTGGCACTTATCATATTCCTTCCATCCTACACTATGGATCTTCTAAGTTTCANTGTATGTGTGTATGTATGTGTGTATGTGTGTATGTATGTGATTTGGTGTATGTATATGTGTGTTACAGGCGAAAGGGTTGAAACACTAATGGTGACAAGAAGTGATAAGTAGTGATAGGAGCTGATACGAGACCCTAGTAAGTAATAGTAACTGGATTGGTTACGTCTTTCGCATTAATAGCTGATCCCTAGCATGTTTGTTAATAGTGGTAGGGCCGTAAATTCCTAAACGCTTTCGATTGCTACCTATAGCGACCGATAAAAACCCTCAGAAACCAAAAACTACTGGATCTGTTATTTTACGCATCGGGTCTACAGTGAAGCCTTGGGTTTTAATATGCGATATGTTAGAGTGGTATAATAGTTGGCCGTTGCTGACGGAAAGGGTTAATTTGATAAGAGCTGATAAAGAGGGTTTGTGCGAAATGAGCTATCTAAAAAGTGGGGAGATCGCGGAAGTTGGTAGCAGGAATTTACAGTGACTGATAGAGGGCCGTAGATGGCTAAAGCCAATCTGTGTGTTACGCCCTTCGTGTTTAAGTTCTGTGGACAGACAGACAGATATACAAACATACAAAAGGACAGCTGGCAAACAAATCATTACACCAAATTTTTGCTTTATTGTTTTGTCTCACTATAAAAATGATTGAAAAAGATTAGTCTCAAAAGTTTGATCGATTTGATACTCGTTGTGTTTAGGTGATCAGTTGGGTCGTAAGGATACCACAAAAGCGACTAGTTTGTGTGAAGGAACGAAAATGGAATTGAAGACGATTTCTCGTATACCTCATGATATGGGACACCCTCGTGAGCATATTTTCTAATAACGGTGACACATAAGCCAAAGCTTGAAGAAACTGGAAATGCTCTTGTTTGTTGTAAAGAGACATTGTAATAATTTTGCACAGTACTTAGCTTTTTCACAGATGGCGAACCATGGATGCAGACGAACGCTTACATTCTGCACGATACGGCAATATGGCGAGATCTAAACCTCAAGTTCGTACTTTCCTGCTGGAGAGATTATAAATTAATAGTGGAGAAGTTTTTTGAACCTCAAGAAGTACGTTTCTCACACAATGAACCTTGAAATGTCTGAAGTTGGACTCTGACTGGATTACTCGGTACTTGTATTCAGGCGAAAGAAATTCTTCGATACTTTTACACTCAAAGCGAGGTCGTTATCCGTAATGCGTTGGAGGAATGGGACAACGATGATGATGGCATGATCGAGAACTCCGGAATAGCCGATCAAACCTACGACATTTGGACAATGAGCGGAACAAGGTTGAGTGATTTAAAGGCACAGTTCACGACAAAAAGGGTTTCTGAGTTTTTCCCATAGGACGAATTTGTGGCCCCTCTTATACTATGCCTGGCGCTATCATGTCGGAAAACGGCCTAGTTTTCCGACATAATAGCGGCGTTATAAAGGTTCATAGACTGGCTCGTGTGTACCCTCGGACGAGTTTCATCGGCATTGTAGAGGCCGCACCGTTCACAAGGGAACCCACCTAGGAAGTTCAAACAACTTGTCGTGTCCCGTAGCGGCAGTGAAAGGCAGTTCTGTACAGTTCTGACATGATGTAGTCAGCTCTTTGTGCAATTGTAATGACTAAAATCTCGTCCGAATACCCCTTCCATGTTATTTCCGTCATGGCAATCTCGTCCAACCTCTATTTTCCCCACTTTTGAGGAGCTTTATTTTTCTCAGAATCGGCGAATTTTCTCGCTTTCTTCACTACCAATGAACTATTCCCAACCTATACTTCCGCTTTTAGGCTAGACAGAGATACCTCAATTACCGTGAAATCAAAGTACTATCGGTTGTAGTTGCATTTAATGAGCATGCGGCGAGGTAGATGTCCATTAACCTGGCTATGCATTGGATCTGGGTGATCATTTTAATCAATTGACTGGTGCAAAAAAGCTCGGTATCTTATGTTAAAGCTGGAACTCGTCAGTATTTCCACAGGTCATTAGAAAGTCATGCTTTGTATGGGCAACTGGGAGATAAAATGTTTATTTAAGAAATGCGAAGAATAAACAGTCACCAAATAAATGCAATGCTACCTAAAATTACAAGTACTAAGAGTTTCAGTAATGGTTGAATACGACACGATATTGCCGTTTCAGTGCCTACTGTGGTTCTCTTTGGTTGGCATCGCTTAGTTCCATATTGTCGATGGCTAGAGAACTCGGCCACGAAGACGCCATACAACGCTTCGAGGACATGCTGGACCAAGCAAAAGTTGCATTTGTGAAGAAACTATGGAATGGAAGGTAAGGTCGCTGACGTATCGTGTTTCTAATGATTCATACATAGTGGTATTTTAAGCTATTTCAATTTCGACGAATTGTCATCAGATCAAGGAGTTATTATGGCCGATCAGTTATGTGGTGTATGGTTCCAGACAATGATGGGAGGAGAAGAACTCATTTCTGATACTCAGGTCTGAACCAGTACATATAAATTCAATTGCAAACGGTAATGTCAAGTGATCGTAAAAGTTATGCATCATTACAATCAATCTTTGCGACTCTTATCGCCATATCTGTTAGGTTGATGCATAATTGTTGCGGATTTTTTCGCGATTTTTTTTAATTGAAAGAATTTGAGTATTGAATTCGAGTTTTTTCTACAAATAATCTACTTGATTTCCTCTACAAAAATGTACTTAGAAAACTATCCGCATATTGGCAAAATTAGGCTCTACTACTTCGAGAAAGGTTGGAAGGTGGCAGAGTCATTCCGCGATCTCAGTATTTTTTTCGGCGATGGAACAATCAGCCAAAGCCAACTAAGGAATAGGATCTGCACCTAAATCTGGCATATTCACCAGCAGAAACTTCTATGGATTATCTCGTCAACCGTTCGCTGAAAAATGGCTAAGGAGTAGAACTTACGTCAATTCGATGACTTGATGGCCGATGTCAAGGCGTGGATCGCCTCCAAGGGTCAAAACTACTTCGCTTTTGAAATCCGACTATCTAGCCAATGGGAGCAGTGCTTGTCGTAGATGGTGGACAAGTTCCGCAGTAACTATTTGAACATAAATTCGTTAAATATTTTCATCTTTCTTTTAAATAAAATTTGCTGAAAAAGAACCGCAATAATTATGCATCAACCTAATATTTTCTTTGATGAGTTAGCACCTGTACGTTTTGAAGACCGTTCTGCCTATCTTGAATACCCAATACCTCCTCAGAGCAGGCATCAAGATCCGAGTGAAACGGAGGCTATTGTTGTGTTTACACTCTCTTCTTACTTTTGATAGTGTCAACTGCGTCTTTGTGACTCTGCTGCGAGCTACTCATGTAAGACGTAAGCAGGCTCGCTGAGTATGAACGAATTTATCTGTTGTGATGTTGTATTGAGTTTATTTTGGAATATGGGAAAGGAAAGTTTTGTGACAGTTTGCGTAATTTCTAAAACTGCCATCACCCATGTGCAGGGATCGTGATCTAGAAAAATCTTTAAACGATATAATAAATGAATAATAATCTGTAAAATGTTACACAGTTAATTAAGAATTGGTTTGTCGAGATTACTTCGATGTTACCAGGTCCTGTCCACGTTGGATACTATCTATACACACAACGTCAAGATGTTTGCTTCGGGAAATATGGGTCCAGTGAACGGAATGTTGTAAGTTTTCGTTCGTAGCATATAAAAAACTATTTGTTACAATTAATTTCACAAACATGTGTTCGAGCAGTTAGTTGCAGTAATAAAATATCGAGGTTCAATTCACTGCAAACAATTCTGATCTGTTAGGCGATAGTCCCTCAAGGAAATCTGGTCTTTGTAAAGTTCATTTTTTGTAGCGATATTTGACAGTTTTTCATGCGCCCAAATAATTTAGTGAAGATGGTGTAGTCGACATATCGAGTATTCAAAGTGAAGAGGTATGGACAGGGACAGGATATAGTGTCGCTTCATTTATGATAGCAAAGGTTCGTTTTTCAAGACATTTTAGATGATAGAAAGGCACAGTTCGCGATAAAAATGGTTGCTGAGATTCCTCCACAGGATGAATTTGAGGACCACGTGTATACCATATCTGACACTATTAGGTCAAAAAACGGCCTAGTTAGGGAGTTATAAAGGCTCAAAGATTGGCCAGTGTGTATCCTCGGACGAGTTTCATCGGCAATGTAGAGGCTGCACCGATCACAATAGAACCCATGTAGGAAGTTCAAACAACTTGTACTGACCCATAGCGACAGTGAAAGGCATCTTTCATAGTCCACGACCAGTCGCTAGCGACCGGCAACTAGTCGCGCGATCGGTCGCCGGTCGCTCGTGAGATGGGTCCGCGACCAGTCGTGGACTATGAAAGATGCCAAAGACAGTTCTGTACAATTCTGGCTTAGTGTAGTCAACTCTTTGTGCAATTGCAATAACTGAAATCTCGTCCGCATACCCTTTCCATGTTATATCCGTCATGGCAATCTCATCCAAGCTATATTTCCCCTACTTTCGAGGAGCCATATTTTTCTCGAAATCGGCGAATTCCCTCGCTTTCTTCATTACCGTTGAATCATTCCCAATCTATACTTCCGCTTTTTGAATAAAAACGGGTACCTCAAAATAATCGTGAACTGTGCCTCTAAGCAGTGTTTTACAACTTGTTGAGTTTCTAGTACACTCTTTCCGTGAAAGAAAATCACCGCTGACCGCTTCTGACGTCTCCTTTTTTTGTATATTTCGTCAATTAAGAATTTGCTGAAGATTTTCTATTGAAGGGAAAGCAGCAGGAAGGTTTCCACACGGCGCGAGGAATTTTCGAAACATGCTGGAATCGTGCAGGGCTCCAGTACCAAACACCCGAGGCAATTTATGAGAAAAAGCATTATCGAGCCATTGGCTACATGCGTCCTCTAGCTATTTGGGCGATGCATCACGCTCTTGAAATGAAGTCCGTTCGATGAAATTTGGTCGACCACTTTAAGTGTTCCAGCTCTTAATGTTTCCTACTACCGTATCTTGAATTGCTTCAATTGAACTAGCCATGTTGTAGTAGTTCTAAGTGATTATTTTGAAGCTCTAGAGTATTGAGTGTGTGTATGGTAAAAATTGTAACTTAACTTCAGGACAGTACAACCTTAAGGATCGGAGATTTCCTTTACCAAGGCGTGTATGATTATGTACATATATATTATTGTTGTTTATTTATGAATCAATTGGCATTCGAAGACTATTCATTGCTTGCTCAAAAAATTCTCTGAATGAATCTGAATTGAATTGGAGGTAGTTCAGGTCTTCATTTCTTAGACAGTTCATCAATGTGATGAGGATTTCGGCGACTAGTTTTCAGTTTTTTAAACTGCATCATCATCGGCAAAGCTTCTGGCTTTCATTATGAAAATCGCCCGGATTGGGCAAGTGCAGGGAAGCTAGATGTAAAAGCTTCACATTGTAAAAAAGTTTCAGTTCGACGGAAAAGCTGTAAGTAGAGAGAAAATAGTAGAAATCGATAACAAACTAGGAACCTACAGAAAAGTCGGGAATCAGGAAAAGGCCAAAAGTCAATGGAAAATCTGAGTTAGGATAAAAAAGCTGAAATTTGGTGGAAAAACATAAAAATGTTGATTTATGCTCCCAAAAAAGTCAAAGTTAGTGAAAAAGCTGAAAGTTATTGAAAGTCTGAAAGTGGAGAAAAATGAAAGTTGGTGAGAAATAAATGCTCGGGAAAGAGTGGTTGAAATCCAAATCCGTGAAATCCAAAGCCAAGTTCTCAACCCATGAAATTCAGCTGGCCCGCAGCAAACAAAACTGTGACGTTCTATTGAGAACTCGTAAGCCATTCACGGCGCCATATGTGGTATAGTGGATAGATTTGGAAGTTCCCAATCACACATTAAAGGGTTTTATCCTTTCTGTGAGCAGTATTTTTGCTGTCATCAACAAGTTCAAGGCTGCTAAGAGGCTGGCTAAGGACTGGTTTCAACCAAGCGCTTCCTCTATGCTCGCATATATGAAGAGCATTTAGAACAATAGTGGAACGATGTGCTCGTATGTGGCTGGAAATGTGGATCATGTAGTTCAGTGGGCATGGAAGATGTTTTCCGCTTACGTGCAGGAACATAGGTTCGAAAACAGCATCAGACAATCTTTTGCCAATCACCTAGCCTTTTATCAGTCTGGCACCTCTTCATTGGAGATTTGCAACACTATACCCGCACTGGATACACTTCATCAGTGAGAACGGCTCGTCGGAACGCAACTCGGACGACTTACCGAGCTTGCCAAAGCTTAAATTCTTACTGAACATCCTAGCGTGCATGCGACATGGGCATCGTAGAGGCATTTTTCTTCGATGGCAATCCCATGTTACGAAGAAGAGATATATTTTCGAAGCGGCGCTAGTGAGCTTAATTTGGCTCGGTGGACGGTGCTAGAGGGAAATGTCAGGGACCATTTTACGGACGAGCCGAGGCGGAGTGCTCAAGATGTATTATTGGCGCATGGGGTAGGTAGGTGAACTCATATCTGACAATATCGGGTTCAGATTCGGACTGGTGCAGCAGTCGGCAAAGGCAGAGAAAAGGTTTAATCACTGCACCATCTGATCAAACGATGGTCGAATATAAGAGGCCAGACATCTGCGTCATTTTGGTCTCTTAGGTGTGCGAATGTCGATCTCGACACTGCTTTCATACCATTTAGGCTTCTCACTCATGAGAACAATACCCAAAACCATGCCCTCAGGCCACTTCGCAGATTTTACTTCATCAACGTTTAGTGAATGAATAATGCTTAGGTTTCGTTAGGATACGTTTTCCTACACATCAAACTGATGCTGAAGTCTCGTTGGCTCAGGGGTACTAACACGGACGCATAGATCACAGTTAATGGGTCCATTCGAACCCAGCCCAGAATCCAGAGAAGGCAATTTTTCAGCGGAACTCCATTA